TCTGCCCTACTTCTCTGCATCATCATCATATTAGTCTTTGTTCTATACTCTTAGGAAAGGTAAAATAAGTAAGGATAGATGAGAGGTATAAACTGCTATTAGAAAATCTGACAAAAATAACATTCAGTGCTGTAAATTATCAGTTGCAACATATTACAAGGCATGACAATAATTAATTGATTAAAAATATATCTTTACATATTTTGGTTGGTGTGATTGTTTAGTTTGACGCATAAACAGTTGTTAATTTGTTTCTATGTGCAGAAGTATACATCCAGATGAGGGCTTTAATGTTAATTACCCTTTGGAAAAAACATGGAGTACATCTTGGATTGTGTAGTCTAGAGTCAGTATGTTACAATTATATGTGTATCATTACATCACATGGTTGTGTTATTCATTTCTAATCATAAAACTGTAAAACCACTAGTAGGAAAGTATTATTTTAACAAAAGGAAAATGCAAATTAAAAGGCAGGAAATCACAAAGCAGGTCTGCAAACAACTTGAAAAATAACAAGGAAAATTAATTTATTTATGTATTTATGCTTAGTATTTAATACCAAATATAGTATAATAGAAGACATATTTCAGAGGTATTTCAAAAGTTTTGGGAGTACATGTATGAGGAAGGAGATCCTGCCATCTAGTGGATGAAACCTCAAATTACTGTTGGAAGAATAATAAAAAGGCCCTATGCATAGACGAGGTGTTTCATACTTTCTTCATAGACTTGTGAAAAGTCGTCGATTTTCAAAAAAAAAAAAGTCTGGTCTGTATTAAATGATTTCCACTAAAAATTGAGTTTAACTTTCGCACCATAACTGAATATTGCTTCCCTCAAATCTAAGCTTGGTAGTTTTGTAGTCTCTTATGATCACTGGTAAAAACTTGTAATGAAGAAATCATATGAGTGATGTCAGAAGTCCTGTGAAACCCTGGAAGAGTTCCCAGTCTTTCACAGGGAGCTGAGATGAATGCTGAGAGAATGAATGTCATTCATGTTCACATTATGCAATCTATAAAGAAAGCATATGTTTGGACTGTGGGAGGAACATTGATTATCAAGAAAGATACTTCAAAGTAACCATGATGGTGGTGCAGTACTTAGCACAGTTTCTTCACTCTGGCCTCACAGCAACAGCGAATCTACAGCTGGCTGGTTCAGGACTTTATGTGTGTAGTTTCTCACTGAATCTATGTCGGATCTGTTCAGCTGCTTCCTCCTGCAGTACAACAACATGCAAGTTAACTTTACTGGCGATTCTAAATTTGACAAAGGTATGACTGTGTACTTGAGTGATCTTCTGTCTTTCTCTGTGTTGGCTCTTCGACTGACTGTAAACCTGTTCAGGCAAACAAGTCCTTCTTTTGCTGGAGTATGCTGTCGGCAGACACAAAAGCTGTGTGATGGATATATAATCTCAACTTCACTTTAGCAATTTAATGGAAATGAACAAATTCATTCTGAGTATTTACTCATGATGCTAAATTAAATTAAGGGGATATTTCAGAAATGATTATTATTTCATTGCTCATTTGGTCTTCAAGATAAACACACTTTTGTCTGACAGATTTAAAGATACACATATTTATTCAGTCTTACAGTAATGAACAGATTAAATGATTTCAATTGATTTTTTTCTTTACTTTTAATTTTGGCTTTGTCTGACATTCATATTCTTGTAGAAACATTATTGTTGTTTCTTTAAAGAAAAAAGCAGACATATTTAATCGTTTTATTTCTTCTGTCAATCTGGAGAAATTAATAAAACTGGGATTTGATTGTGCAGACCAAAAAAAACCCCACTTAATATTTAACTCCATGTGGGTAGTTTTAATTTTGTGTTGGTTCCCAACAAATGACAGCTCTGCATGTCAAAGTGAACAAGAAAACGTTTATCAGCTCAGGTGTTAAAAAAAATTTAAAACTGTGCATTTAGTTTCCACAAGGTCTATGTGAGCTGTGCTTTTTAATATCCAGCAGCCTATTTTACAAATGCAGTGCTACAGAATTCAAAGAAACATGAAGAACAAAATAAGTATCGGCTAATACACGCAATCATTTTACAAGTCAGATCATTTGAGCTGAGACTGAAAATAAATAAATAAATAAATGAATACTTTAAATCTGATAATTATCAACAGCCAACTGTAGCAATTTAATAAAGTATGTTAAAGATTTACAGTTCTGATCCTACATTGAACATTAACTGAAGTCAGTATTCTTGAGAAAAAGCCCCACAAATTGGTTATATGTGATAAATGCATCAAACTGCACTATGTTCTGCAATTACCGTGAAAGAGTATCTAGGCGTTCTTGGATTTTGGATTTCTGGTTGTGTTTTTTTTAAATATCACATTTGAACAAAAATTTAAATAATGTAACTGAATATTTACTTAATCAAAGTAAACAATAAAAACTTGATGTCAGATCTGAAATATGTAGCATTTACGCTTATTACACATTTATATATTTTACATGTTTTTGTCACTGAGGCAGCCTATATGGACATTAGTAAATACATGTGGTAATCAAATAGTTTCACAGAAAAGAAGTGATGTCATAAATCCTGTAAAACAGCTTCACCCAGTGGAGATCTGTGGCAAAGACCAGAACATTCCTGAAGACTCTGGAACTCCTCCACTTAGTATATATAAACTGGGACAGTCTCACTGCTGAGACAGAAAGCAAGACAAGCAACACCAAGAAGACAACAGACACCTGAACAGTGTTTCATCTCACAAGAAGAGGACTCAACACTAAACCCACTGAAGATGCTGTGCTCTCATGGAGTCCAGTCTGCACTCAGTCCATTCATGGACTTCTACTGGCCTGTGCGCAGTCTGTGGCCAGAGATCAAGCCTCTCTTCTACCAGCAGGATCTCCTGCAGAGAAACCTACAGGAGCTGTGCAGCAGTCTGGAGCTGATGGATAAACTTCAACGCAGGATCCTGGAGGAGACAGATCCTTTCCAAAGCAGCATGGCTGTGCAGCCAGTTGCCGTCCAGCTGGAGAAAGAGGGAGACAAGTTTGCTCTGATGCTGGACACTCGAGGCTTTTCCCCAGAGGAGCTGTCTGTCAGGCAGGTGGGCAGGAAGCTGAGAGTCAGTGGCAAGACAAAGAAGAAGCAGGAGGATGGGAAAGGCTCGTACTCTTACAGACTGCAGGAGTTCAGACAGGAGTTTGATCTGCCTGAAGGACTGAACCCTCAAACCATCACGTGCCACCTGTCTCCAGATGGGAAGCTCCACATCCAGGCAGCCAAAGCTCCGTGTGTTGAAGAGGCTGAGAGAGAGCTGACTATCAAGAGGAGCTCAGAGGACAAAGCACAGCAGAGTGTGTGTTCACAGGCAGAAGACAGCAGGACAGAGACACACAGCAGCACACAGGACAAACCTGAAAACATGGATATGAAATGATACCAATGTAAAATAAATGTTTTTGTATTGATATTCATTCAGTTTTCATGTGTTGAGAAATAAATGTTATCAAAGCTTAACTATGTTTTCTGTGTCTTTCTTTCTAAGTCCTACATTTAAAAAAAAGAAAGAAAAAAAGCACAGAGGAGGATAGAAGGAGTTTTATTGAGGTCCTGTGATCCATGCATCCAAGTTCTCCAGCTCTAAAATTCTAAACTTTATGGCTTTTAAAAATAGAAACAAATGAGGACAAATTGAATTTGGTAGTTCAGACTGAAAACTGTTGTTTAATTCAACACCATCTGGGTTTGATGAATGAGCTCCTGGCTTTATCTGAGTTAACACTTCATAGACCAGGTGGTTTCAGAGTAGTTCATGCAATCTTATTGTCTGTTCCAAAAATGTGACAACACTCGATGTCAAAGTGAACAACAGAACATTCAGTTCACAAGTAAGAAAAATCAAATACTGCGCAATTAGTTTCCACAAGTTCTGTGTGTGTGTGTTGCTTTTCAATTTCCAGTAATCTATTAAACAAATGAAAGTTACAGCCTTCAAACAAACATGAAGAATGTACCAAGTATTGATAAATTGAGCAAATATTTTACAAGCCAGACTATTTCACCATATAATTTAACAACAATTATATACTGCACATGTGATAATTACTAACATCATGCTATTTGAAGTTAGCAAAACACATTTGCAAAAACATATTCTTATTAAGAATTATTAAGTGAACTCGGCACTCTTGAGAAACAACCCATCCTAGTGGATATATGTGGTAATGGCTATATGTTGAAACATGTTCACCTGTTTCTCTACACATTCTTAGAATTTGGAGTTTATGTTATTTGATTTTAATAATATGTTTTGGATTATAAAATTGATTTGAACTAGTGTTTAAAAAATATCAGCATGAACCCAAACATTTTTTGATCAGTAGACAAATAGCTTTTCACATCAGACATGAAGTGCATTCAGTTCACAAGTGACGTCAGAAGTTCTGTGAAACAGCTCCACCCAGTGGAGATCTGTGGCAAAGACCAGAACATTCCTGAAGATTCTGGACCCCTTCTGGGGAAATGGTGTACATCTAAGGCTTACCTCCAATGTTTGCATTTAAATTCGTATTTAAATCAATGGACTTGTTAAAAACAAATTCACTGCATATATGGTTAGAATGGATATTCCAGTAAATATTGTATTATATTATACTTCTCAAGTAATGCGGAGTTTTGTTCTTTATTTTATTTTTTGTATTTTTCAGTCTTGGTGAGAGCAGGTTGAGGGCTGAGGAAGAAGAGGTCAATTTCCTGCTCGTCTTTCATCAGCATGAATCAGATATTTGTTTAGTAGATATAGTTTTTCTTCTCAGTCAAAGAAAATGAAAATTTGGGGGAAAAATAGTACATATTTCAAGTCATGGATGGGGATTTAAGTTTTTCCAGCAGCAAAAGTGAGGTTCTGTTCCTGGGAAACAGCTCCACCCAGTGGAGATCTGTGGCAAAGACCAGAAAATTCCTGAAGACTCTGGAACTCCTCCACTTAGTATATATAAACTGGGACAGTCTCACTGCTGAGACAGAAAGCAAGACAAGCAACACCAAGAAGACAACAGACACCTGAACAGTGTTTCATCTCACAAGAAGAGGACTCAACACTAAACCCACTGAAGATGCTGTGCTCTCATGGAGTCCAGTCTGCACTCAGTCCATTCATGGACTTCTACTGGCCTGTGCGCAGTCTGTGGCCAGAGATCAAGCCTCTGTTCTACCAGCAGGATCTCCTGCAGAGAAACCTACAGGAGCTGTGCAGCAGTCTGGAGCTGATGGATAAACTTCAACACAGGATCCTGGAGGAGACAGATCCTTTCCAAAGCAGCATGGCTGTGCAGCCAGTTGCCGTCCAGCTGGAGAAAGAGGGAGACAAGTTTGCTCTGATGCTGGACACTCAAGGCTTTTCCCCAGAGGAGCTGTCTGTCAGGCAAGTGGGCAGGAAGCTGAGAGTCAGTGGCAAGACAAAGAAGAAGCAGGAGGATGGGAAAGGCTCGTACTCTTACAGACTGCAGGAGTTCAGACAGGAGTTTGATCTGCCTGAAGGACTGAACCATCAAGCCATCACGTGCCACCTGTCTCCAGATGGGAAGCTCCACATCCAGGCAGCCAAAGCTCCGTGTGTTGAAGAGGCTGAGAGAGAGCTGACTATCAAGAGGAGCTCAGAGGACAAAGCACAGCAGAGTGTGTGTTCACAGGCAGAAGACAGCAGGACAGAGACACACGCTGTTTGACTGGACTAATGACATCACTCGTCAATTGCTCATCCATCATGTCTGACTTCTTTTCTGTGAAACTATTTGATAGGCTGCCTCAGTGACAAAAACATGTAAAATATATAAATGTGTAATAAGCTTTTACTTCAGATTATAGGTTTGCATTTCCATTTAATTGCAATACCCAAAAAATCACCACAGGTGATGGTTCATCAGGAATACAAACTTCACTTGACTATTCCTGTTGGATCAAAGATTTTGTAATACAGGTAATTATTTGGTGTACAGTGTTTCCCCAATTTGACTTTATTTAAAGTTTATTTAAAACAATCTGTACCAAAAATTCTAGACAGTGCGTTTATTATTCCTCTTCCATCAAAATTTATGTTTTACAAATATTTTTATTCTACGTTTTTCCATGAAAGCTGCATTAATAAACGTCTTGAGCATACATCTGTAAATTCAAAAGCAACCTTGATATTGACCTTCTAAGAATTAATCACACAGTTTTTGATTTTACTGAGCTGATGAGGGTTCTTTTCTTCATGTACAGATGTTCTTCCTGACAAAGAAGGTTACAGGACTACTTGAAATATACTGTCATCAATGTACACAAATAATCAAGGATGTATTGTCTGTAACGTTGTGCCTTTTTTTCCTATGCGCAATCAATTTCCACTTAAAATACTAGTACTAAAAATAATACTAATATATAAATATAGAAGTATTCTCCACTGTGGTCAAAGAACACACAAAAATAAAAAAAACAAGGAAAAAAACATCTGTCATTTCAGAATTATATTAACGATTATGTATTCACTGGAATGTCACCTCTATGCATTCAGGCAAGGCAATTTTTTTAACAAAATGACTTAAAACACACAGTTTAGCTTTTATGATATTTATTCATTATCAGATAAAAAATACTAAAGCACACAGATTCATAAATTATCAGCATTGTTGAGATGCAACAATGTTCAAGTGTCTGTTCTCTTGACTTATCCCTTCTGTCATTCTTCTTTCTCAAATATAGGACTGTTTATCGTCTTTTGACCTCTTTTATAACTAAAAGAGGTCAAAATTCAGCAGGAACCTTCTGGTCACTACCACAGAGCTTCACTGGGTGGGGCTGTTACTCAGGCTTACTAACATTAAATCATCACTCCTGTGTTTTCAGGAACTTGCCTTCATTTGCGTCACTGCAACACTAGATGCCTGTCTAAACTATCATGAGCTAATATTGTCAGATCTAATCTGAGCATCATCTCAACAAAAGCACACATATAAACACATATAAATGTATATGTGTACACATAAACACAATTAGGGTGTTTGTTTTTATACAATGTTTTAAAAAATATATATTTTGTGTTTAGTATTCATCATCTTAACAATCTTTCCTGTCTTTTCTTTGGATGGACTCCTCCAAATGCATTACTCTGAAGCCACTGTCTGCCTATTAGTACTAAGATCAATAACTGAGACCAGACAAGAATGGGCTACTAATATAATCAAGAAGAAAGAAGAGACGAGCGCGCCAAACACTAGAGTTATCCATAAACATTTCAGACTGCAAGTGCGGAAATATTTACTTAAATGTGATCTCTGCTGTTTGTGCCATGCTGCTGATTTATAATGTGTCTATTAATGCACTTAAACTCTTACTGAGTATTTTATCTTTCAAGAAATGCTAAAGTTCATCTTTTTTATTCACAACCAAACTCCAGTGTTACAACATCTATATACCCATGAACATTGTCCATGTTTAAGGCAACTTATAGCGTTTTGAATAACAACTGCATAATTTTACTTTATCAGTGATTTTCAGATTTTCATGACTTGAAAGACGTTGTTTTATGCTTTATGATTTAATACAAGAAGTTGGAAGTAGTTAGCATCATAGATTGACACTAAAAAAACCATTTTTCTGGCAGCAGAGAACATAAAAAAAAAAGACAAAGTTTTTTCAAGGATTACAACCATGTAGATACACACCTTTCAAAGTCAAGCATTGCTTTTTTTGAGGTACAGAAGACATCACATGAAAATTATACATTTAATCAAGCTGTGTTGCAGTTTCGAAGTGAAAGTTAAACATCAGAACATTTTAAGAGAAACTGCTGACTTAAAGGGAAGAAAATAGTGCCAAGAAATTTAAGAAAGGGGAAAAAAAAACAAACTATGTTCACCAGCCATTGTATAAATACATCTAAATCATTTACAATGGTAAAATATTTTCTATAGTCAAGAAAATAAAACCTTTAAGTTAAAGAAGAGTAAATAAATACAAATGGTGAATAAGGGGCCAGAATGTATGCCCTTAATCTGTGATGCCTTATTAACAAACCCTCTTTGAGGTAGATTGGTCTTCTATTCAGTTTTTAACTCCACACAGGAAATGTCCATTATGTGACCTTACGTAATGTGACAAAGCCTGATTGATATGAAGATGAAGCCAGTGAGTGTGGTTGTAGCAGTCATCCTGTACTCACTGAGTCCTATTTGGTTGGCAAATGAGCCTTAGCATTGACCAGGCAGGTTCCGGAGCTTTTTCCACAAAGTAACCATCTCCTTGGGACTCCGTTTGTGAACAAGCAGAACAGATCTGTATGCACAAGGATTTTCCCTTTCTCCTGCTGGGAGGTCAAATGTTAAAAAACCCGGGTGATGGGTTGGAGAAAGCCCGAGTCTGTGCAGGCACATTCCAAGATACACATCATCAATAGGGAAAAGGTGGACCCTCTCAGACACCTCTTTCAAACGTAATGCAAGTGATCCAGAATACACCACCCCTCCTCCACCAGCATAGGGTGGATACACTCCTTTGTAGAAATTTTCTGGTATGTAGTATTTTGTGGACGGTTCACGGTTTGGCATTGCATTAGTAATCACGTCCCCGATGAACATATCCATCTCAGTTTTCCTTTTTAAAAGTAGCTGTAGTTTGTGTTCCTCCTCGTTCTTGTGCAGATAATCCAGAAGGGCATTTGTTCTGACAAAGACGTCATCGTCTCCTTTGAAAACAAAGATGGCAGTGGGACAGTACTGCTCGAACCATTGCCAGAACAGCAAGTCCTTTAGGGTCAAATTATAAAAAGTATCTCTGAAGTCCCACAGTAGAATATCCCCATACTTCAGGTTCTCTAGCTCCAGGAGATTTTTTAGGTCTGGGTGTGGACCTGTACCTGAGTCCTGCCTTCCAAGAAGAAAGACTGTGCGCACCAATCCACCTTTTTTATTTGATTCCCCTTCCACCAGACCACTGCGTCCCCATGTTTCACGGATTGCCTGCCTATTTTCAAAGTTTCCCACTTGAGATTTGATAGCCATGAGGAGCATGGGAGAGTCCAGATCAAAGCTACTGTTGTCTTTCCTACACATACCAGGTTGGTTGATAAGAAGGGGGTACTCCCTGTAATACATTGACCTGATAAATGCCCTAATCTGTTCTGGCAGCTTGTTTATATCTTGCATGTGAGGGACTGAACACTTGTATGATGTGTTGTCAGAAATACATTCATTGTTAATCTCTGATAAAAACTTAGCTTTGGGCTTCCTCTGTATGCGAGTTGTGTTTCCTATCAGTAGTGGATTGTGCTCACGGTCCCAAGCATGCTGAAGCTGGTTCCACAGAGCACTGTCCTCCAAACGAAGGTTCCAGAAAGGCCCGAGTGGATGGGAGGCCATAGTTGAAGAATTAGCAGAAATCCCTGGAGCAATATAGTGGATAGTTATTTTTGGCGGAGCGTAGGAGATGGTGATGAATATGGAGATGCCAATATAAATTAAAAGATGGCCAGTCATCATACAAGGCAGCAGACACAAGCACAGCAGTCTCCCATTGCGTTTGCAGCATTTTCCCATTGCCTGTGGTATACAAAGCAGACACACACCTGCACACAGAAAAACATGAGGCTTTCTTTTAAAGATAATAATGCAAAGCAGAGAAAGAAAAATGGCACTGCCTTCACTGTACAGATTTATACAACAGAACGAGTCTCATAAGAGGTTTTATAGCAAACACTGCCATCAACTCAAGGGAGGTTTTTTGTCTCCTTAGTGATGGTCCAGGGAGGTTTATTATCTGTTCTTCTCTACACATTCACAACATCATCTAATACCTACCTGTCGACAGGTACTCAGCCCCTGTAGGAACAATGTGGAAAATGTATTATGAAACAACAAGGATTATTTGCCTCTTTCATCAGTTACTGCTTCCATATTGTATTTGACTTGAAAAGAATGGCCTATTGATTCTACATCTATCTATCTAATTCCAAGGATGGATGAATAGACTAAACTTGCCTGCATCTTTTAGTCTACAAAATACACTTGTTAGAACTGCTACATGTGTTTCCTACAATTCTGTCAAACTCTTACAGGTTTAGGCAAGGGACGAGAGGAAACACAGAAGTACTTACAAGCGAGGGAACTTTCGTTGGTTATGGCGAGTGGGAAAAAAGGCACAGTCACCTGTGGTGTCCACTTCTTGTTTTAGTTTTAGCATCCGGCCTCGTCATGAGCTGGTTATTAAGCCGCAGCTGTGTAGCACAGTTTGTATTGTAGTGCATCATTTGGTCCTTCAGCGTATGGGACTTTCAACCGCAGCTGAGCAACGTGTCCCAGGTGAGTCCCATGCGCATCGAGCATGCGCTCCTTTGGCTCTTTGACGCTTAAGCATAACGAGGGGAAAAAAAGAACAAAGGGATCCACATGATTTGTTGTACTGTCTCCTGCCAACACATTGATTTTATTTACATGCGTTGCAGGTGTAGAGGCTATTTGCATGATGTAGCCAGATTGTCTGGACCCACCCAACCGCAAATTATAAATGATTAGTGGTTTAAGGTTTCACTTAAGTACACATATATATATATGTGTATATATATATATATATATATTCTGTGTGTCAGTATGTTTGTGTGCGTGTAGATACAGAGATACAGTTAGTGTACAAGTGTATTATGCAATTTTATAAAGATAATCAAGGTAACACCGACATACCTCCATGCATAACACCCTGTGACGGACACTGCCTCAGACCAATAGAGCACGCGTCTTGCAACAGGTTACGGGCTAAACAGTCGAGGGCTTTGGGGCTAAATCCCCGGATGTGACCAATAGAACCAGTTGGGGGGCGGGGCATTGTGAAGTCTTCTTACGTTTGTTTTGCGTGAAGCAATACATGTTTGGTTGAGCTTTGAATGAGGAGCCATCATCCCGGCGGCTAGGAG